CTAGAAGTCAGTCTTTGCATAGCTTACAGGTGGAGTCATAATTTAATAGTTTCAGTCAGTTTTGCGTTAGACATCTTTTTTGTGTGTTTTGCATAGAGTACATGGCTTTACAAAGCAGAAGGCTGTAGGCCCCCTTCCCCTATGGGCTCCACACCCTCACATATTTGTAATTAATGAGACCCTTAGTTCAGTTCAGTGTTTTAACATAAGCAACTGTACAAATCAATGTCAGAACAATCACTCTGATTGTAGTACTTTAGAATTCACTCATTTTCTTTGTACTGCTTATTCACCTTTCATACTGTGTTCAGCTTTTTCCTGTAATTTAATATGAGCTGTCCTTGAAAGATTCTGGTTCAAAGAAAAGAGAAACTCATTATCTGGATGTTAAGACTCATTGGGCTGAATGTGGCAATGGGGATCAGAGTCATTTATTCTCAGAGCACACCTGTAGTGCAATAAAATAATTTGCATAGAGTACACTATACAGTGTTCAAGGTTCAAGGATTTGTAAATATGTTTTTCTTCAATGCTGGATTTTCTCCATGGGCAGGCCATGGGTCCTTGCTCTTTTCATTACTTACATTTACTCAGAGTGGTCAGGCGGTCAAGGAAGACAGGAACAGAGCAAATGACCTCCTGTTACTGCCAAGTTGCTGGGCTGTTGCTCAGTCAAAGCTCCTCTTGACTCCAGTGTGAGCCTTCACTAAGAGAGGCCTTCAGTGTTGGGTCTTTGAATATCACCTTATACAATGAATGTAGACGAAAGTTTGGGGTTTTTTGTGTATTCATCCCTTCTCATTGGACTATCTCTAGAAAGAATGTTGCTGAACACCAATGCACAACTCTAACTAACCTTCCTGATTGAGGAGAGTATTACTTGTTTCCTCTCATAACTGCAGTGTTCCTAGTATAGATTACACTCCAGAATGGGTCTTCTTCAGTGGAAAAAAGTGGAATTGTGTGTACAAATACCTGAAATGCACACATACAGAGGCGTGTGTGTGTATATAAGTGTATATAAATACATATGTGCATGTAAACATATGCTATTTCGTGTGTACTTTCATGCATAATGTACCATGTCTTAGAAGAAAGATAGATCCCAAGATCTTTATATTGTTTTCCAAAATCTCAGCTCAGCTAGAATCTCTTTTTAACATGGTTTCCTGAGGAAATGAGGCTTTTGTGGTTATTCTGTCTGTGTGCTGACTTTTGCATTCGGCCTGTAACAATCTTAGTCCCATAGCTAATTTTAATTAAACTTGGTGTAGCTAGAAGTCTCAAAGATATGAAGTTCTTACAGGATTAATGAAAACTGGCTGCCAAGTACAGGAGGAAAATCTCTTAATACTCCATCTGGAAAAAAGAGTGAAGCTTGAGCTCACTCCTGTGAGACAATGAGGTATTATGAATGCCCCAACCGTGGGAAAAACTTCAATCAGTGCTCACATCTTACTAGACACTAGAGAAACCAACCACAAGATACACATTCATAGGAAACCAGGCCTCATTAGTTCCACCGTTTGCTTTGATACATGGAATATGATTAAAAGAAAACTGAATGTATTACGTGTCCTTCCCCTTGAGGCTTCACACACTTTAACCAGGTTTTTCTGTACACAAGGGAGATTTGAGGATTTGACCCTAAGCTAATGAAGAGCACACCCCTTCCAATATCCTGACTTTCTAAGTATGTGATGAGACATTGCTATAAGCATAAATCTGCCATGAACTTGCATCAAATAAAGGCATATACAGGATTAAATGGAGAAAATCACAGTTTAGTTTTCATAGGGAAAATGTTCTTGAGCATGATGCTGTACACTTCCAAGCAAAGGCATAGAAGTAATGTTAGTGGAACTTTATATTCACCCTGAACAGAGTGCTAGAATGTTCTCCAAACAAGGAACATCCTTGCATTAAGATACAGGAGGTGACTTGACAATTTTTCAAGTCACCAAAAATCCAGTACCTTGAATAATAGACAGAACTTTGGGAAAGCTTGGGTTAAAGCTAAATCCAGTCCTGTTTCTGTGGTTAGTGTCATATTGCAAATTCTTCCTCTCATGCACAATTGTTCTCACAGGTGACATTGGAAATTAATTAAGTTATTCTGGTTGAGATAACTTATATAGCTTTCAAAAAATGAGGTGTATTGATTGATTCATTTATAAAGCAAGTTCCATGCGTATTATCTGAAAATACTATTAATGTTGTTTAAGGATACTGTGGAGAGAAAATGTCTGCCAAACTGTGATGGTGTAATAAGATTTTAAAGGAAAATAACTGAAATTCAAATCTAGGGAAAAGGCTGTCAGACTGCTTGTTCTCAGGTCTCTAACGTGCATTGGGTTTGGTTACTGCTGGGATGGAAAAACTATGCAAGACACATGATTTGGTTTTTTTAACTATCCATAGATTCAGTTGCTGAATTAGATTGTCATAGCATCTTTTGGCTTGGATATTCACCTGGTTAATTAAGAAGAAGGAAAACTGAGAGTTTACCTGAACTGAATTTTCAGGGCAAAATTACACAGGAGCTTGAACACAGAAATAATTTCAGTTCATACGCACACATTCTCCCAGATGTATTTTTATTTGTGCAAGTATCAGGCATGAAGATTATGTAGAATCCAGAAACTGCAGAAGACAAAACCACAAAAATTCTGAGATGGCTTCTAAAAATATGATTTCTGATCAATAAGTTGAAATTCAATATTAAGAGCATACAGTGGGTTTTTTTTTAAAAATAAGTTAATTTACCAAACTAAGCTCCTAAGAGTGTTTTAATCCTCAAGTTTTATAAGTTTCCCAGAATAGCTGGTGTTCTACCTCACCTCTATTTGATATTGTAATAAGGCTTTTATAATTAATACTTAATTCATACCTAATTGTCTTAAATTATTAAAACCCAAGATAAATAAGTAACTTGATATATCATCAACCTGTCCAATCTCAGAAGTGTATGTATTGACTGTCAAACATGCATTATTGCTTAAAAGTGGTAAATTATGTTATACACTGAACATCTTTATAATCAGTATAATAAATTTAAATTCTTCCTTACACTTTCTCTTTCACAATACTAGGTAACTTGGCTTTAACATGGAACTAAAAAATGTCTTCTAACTTGCATGAATTTACTGACTGACATGAGAGTCATCTTTTCTTTTGCCAGAGTGGGGCAATAGGTATCTCTCTTAATTGTTAATACTTTATAGCTTCACATACTATGAGGAATTGAATTCTCCTTACTGTGATGGTCACTGACTCACAGACTGGCTAGAATTAAGAGTGGAAAGCAACTGTTAAAACATCTGCAGTTTTATTTTGTCATTCTGGACAGCTGCAAAAAAGGCTGTGAACTAGGTTATACTGTAGAGCACCATTCACTGTGATAAGCTTCCTAAGGCTTTGGCTTTTTAAGCAATTCTCAATAACCTTTCTCCCTCCCTGTCCTTTCTCTCTCTCTCTCTCTCTCTCTCTCTCTCTCTCTCTCTCTCTCTATATATATATATATTGGGGGGGAGTGGGGTGGGAAGAGAGAGAGAGGATTGTAACTTTTAAAAGTTACACAATATATTTTAAATTACAGAGGAAAATACCAACCCAGATGATTTTCAGGCTGTTCTTTAGAACCAAGACTGTGAGTGTTCCTATCAACTCCTTTTCTTCTACTGAAATGGTTGCTGATATGAGCTTGTAGGGGGTCAGGCTGTGCTCTCGATGGTAGTTTTCTTATTGACCTCTGTGACTAAACAGCCAAGACCAGTGACTTTCATTTTCACAAGTCCATTTTGTATTTCATTCTCTTTTTAATTCCAAGGTGAAGTCTAGCTGCATGCATATGCCATCCTGGTGTCTAATCTTTTGTTTTTACAGAATTTGTGGCTTTCAATTTAGAATATTTTGAACAGTGGTTTGATTTTTTTTCCTCTGTATTTATAGAAGAATAACAATTTGATGCCTTTATAATATTTAATTACTTTCCCAAACTTTTGAAGAATGCCTGTGATTATAATGTATATTTTTAAATTTGCAACTTCAAACCACTGAAAGATAATGTAAAATATCAAAATTACTTGTAATTGGAGACTTTTTTATACCTTCACTAGAATGATTAAACATGTGATAAATATGTGATTTTTTCTAAAATGTCATATAATTAGGGTTATAGTATAAATAAAACAAAGGGCAATTTTACTCACAGTGCTAATGGTGAGATAAGTAGAAAGGAAATTTTGTATCACTTGAAAGGGGGAATGCTGTCTCAGAGGTGTTATCAGTCTGCAATGCTGGTTCTGTTACAATGGCTGTCTCAGTTACAAGATCTGTAACCATTTTATTTTTTTGGTGCTTTGAAATATGTGATCTGTGATATTTGTTACGGAGACATGTTATGGACACTGGTGACACAGATCAGATAAGTAACTGGGTCAGCTGACAAGATACTCCCTGTAATGCTACCTCCCTGTAGCATTAACATGTGGTTCTTTCTGTGTGAGGGAGTTTCTGAACACGGGTTGTTGTTAAGTTGCATTTGCAATTATTGAAAAGTCTTCTCTTGCTACAAAAAGAAAGAAAGAAAATAAAAAAGCATGTTTAAAACACATTTCTCTTTAAATTAAAAAGACAACCCTATAGTAAAACTATTTATTATTTCACTTCTCAGGCTTGGCAGTTTTCCTGTATTGCTCTGTCAGGAGCCTTATCCTTATATTCGGCTTCATTTCTGATTACAGATTATACATTTATGGACAGGCAGCTGTAGAAACTTGCTTCTTGCATATGCAAATCAATCATGGTAATGTTTATCATAAGGAGATTTTGTGGCAGTGGAAAAGCAGTTGTGGCAACATGTTCTTGATTTCAATTGTATCTTCTACAAATGGAATTGGCTTCCTCACTTCACCTTCAGTGGATTTTTTTTTTTCTTGCCATTTGGACCTCTTGGACTCGACACTGCTCACTAAGCAAGCTGTTTGATTCACTTACAGATCATGATTTTGGAAGGAGCTGGCAGAATGAGTATCAATTCCAGCAGCAATCTACTCCACCAGCAGCCCTCCTGGACAGACGGATACTCGACATGCAATGGTAGGAGGAATCCAACAGCTCTGAGCCATGTTTTTTGGTGGGAGGCAGGGATGAAGGGGCTATTAAACCTTTAAACATGCACAAGTAGTATTTTTCAGTAATACTAATTTACTGAGTTTCAGTTCTGGTAAAAAAAAAAATCAATTTCTAACTTAATCTGTAAAAAGATGAACTCACAACACTAGGTTTCTGAAAGCGACCAGTTTATAATTAATTTCCTTACTGTTTCTTTTTCCTAAAATGAATTTAGTGATGTTGAAAGTGCCAAAAGTTCCCTCTCCTCAGTCCGAAATTATTTCTCTCTTACCTTTACCCCTCACACCTTCTCTGAACCCACATTACTCTTCATTGTTGATCCAGCTTTCCAGGGGAGTAGTCTTTTTGCTCCTTTACTGTATTTGCTTTTCCATCTCAAATTACTAGATAGTTTTCTAATTAGACTGGCATTAGAGCACCAGATAGCTTGTAATCTGAGAAATTTTCTTTTTTTCTCCTTACTGTTTTCCGACTATACGGTTGTATATAGAAAATTGTGTTCATATATATATATATTCCCTCCAGTAAAAAAATAGAGATACAGACATGTATCTATATATAGTGACTGATATAATTTTAAAATTCTTTTCCTCACTCAGTGCATGGGTAAACTTTAAAAACTAAGCAAACACACACTGCAGTTGTGCTTCTAATCCAAATAATGCTGCAACAAAACTTACAATGAAAGTTCCCACTCAGTGAAATACTTGGGGTTTTTAATGTGCAATTTCTAAATACACGTGAGTGCACAAGAGTGCACTTAATAAATGTGCTGACCTGTCTGTAACAGATTTATGGGGAAAATAAGTTCTGGCTGAGTTTCATTTTACACAGGATTGCTTGAAAGGAAACAGTGGGGTCTATTTTCATGTTTCCAGTGTGAAACTCCGCAGGATTCTCTTATGTTTTAAAGGGAAAGGGAACCTAAATCTCAGACCAACCTGTACGATCATTCACCACTTTCTTTTACCTAGCTACTCTTTCCTCTCACTAAAGGCTCTCCATTTACACTGGGAGTCTAGTGGCCTCTGAAATTCCTTTACCCTTCTGACCTGATAGGAACACATATACAGCGAATACTTGATGGCCCCATCAAACTTTTTTCTCTGACATACCACACTCTTAATAATTTCCACACTCGTTCTCCAAATCTGTCAACAGAAGGGTAAGAAACAGTCCTGCAAACTCCCTAAGTTACTGACACAGACCTGGTTGGCCGATATTGGTAAAGAAACCTAAGTAAATGTGGGGCTTTTTATGTTTACCTAGAAACTAGCATTGTGCACTGTATCTCAACCAAAGAGACCTGAGGTCTAGTGGGACCTGAGAGGAGGAGATTTCCTACAATGTGCCACCTCTGTTGCTTGTGGTCCTCTAGCAATATCCCTTGTCAGTATTCCTCACAGCTGTGTGGGTAATCATCTTCTTGGGGAAACTGGGATTGGACTGGTGCCACATTCTGGAGTGGGGCTACTGTACAGCTAAGCCATGGCAGTTTTTCCTCCTCCTGTGATGCAATCAATTCTGCAATCTCTCATTCTCTCATCCTTAAACCCTTCATGCACTTGTGAGCATATTATCACCGCCATCTCGGCCTAGCATACTGCATTGTCCTCCTTTCCCAAGGAATTAACTGCACTGAACTCCTTTGCCAGCCCTTCTGTGAGGGCAGACCAAAGCAGTCCTACCTTTGCTCTTATTTTATGTAATTGCCTTATCCCCACATGTGATTTCTTTCATTTACACACGTAAATTACTGTTGTGCAATAACATAAAACTGAGAGCAGTTAAAAGATTTCCAAGAAAAGATTCAGATATCTTAACAAGAAAATTAGGTGACTTCCATAACTAAAAATGAGTTTTACAACTGCATTTAGAAATCACCTTACCGGACTACAGAAATAAGGTGCATTCATCAGAACGCAAGCTCTATCATGAAGCTGAGGACCATACTGATAGCGTTTTACTGGGGAGCAGTATGACGATGCCTTGACTTTTACCATTCTTTGATTGAATCCCACAATTCGTATTCAATCCTTATTAGGTCCTTGCTAAAAGAACATTTCCACATCAGATTATGGGAATTTTGCAAGGCTTTTCCATCATTTTCTGATGCACTAAAATTATTTTCCCACATGAGGATCAGCATACCTTTTCAACAGTACTTCTGCAAGGTATCTTCCATCTAATAATTTTGGTGTATTTAGCCAACATTAATAAATTAATTGCTACATACTGAATCTGCCAAGACAGGTGTAAAGTAATAATTCCTAGTTTTTAATTAGAAAACTGAGGCCAAAAAAACCCCCAATACTTTCTCCCTAAGATAGCTACTGAGCTAGTGTTAAGGACTGAGAAAACAATCGAGATCTGTGGACTTCCAGGGCATGCAATTTAGCTATAGACCTTTCTTGTCATCAGCATAATCCCATGGTCCTAACAGAGACAGTAAACACCTGTTTTCTTTTCCAGTGACCAGCAGCTTCTATGGAACACAATGGCATGAAATACATCCGCAGTACTGGACCAAATTTCAAGTCTGGGAGTGGCTGCAGCATCTCCTTGATACCAACCAACTGGACGCCAACTGCATACCCTTCCAGGAGTTTGATATCAATGGGGAACATTTATGCAGTATGAGTCTGCAGGAATTCACTCAGGCAGCAGGGACAGCAGGGCAACTGCTTTACAGCAACCTTCAGCACTTAAAATGGAATGGTAAATAGCTATTAGGCAGAGACACAGATACAATTGTGGGATCTTCGGAAGTTGCTTATGCTCCCCAGAGACCTACCGGGCAGATCTCATTTGCTACAATTGCTATAACTGCTTATACCTCATACCTTCCCTGTATTAATAAATTGCTTAGATATGACATAAGGCAGAATTCTGAAGGACCAGGGGAAAGGGTATGTTTCCACCTCCAAAATAAGCACTCTGGCTCAGATGTAGCAGTTGCTGCTTGGAGCTAACATATTTCTGTGCTCGCTGTCATATATTCCATCTACCATATGTTTTCTTGCAGGCCAATGTGGAAGTGACATGTATCAATCTCATAATGTCATTGTGAAGACAGAGCAAACAGGTGAGTAACAGTTGGGTCACTTGTCTTTTGATGGTGACAAAAAGGGAAACTGACTGTTCCAAGACTGAGTTATAAAAATAGCATTAAGTAAAATGGGAAGTGTATCCTGCAGAATAAAAGAAGTAACATGATTATCAGTCAATGTCTACTTTTTGAAGTTCCAGGTAGTGCCACCACATCTTAGTCTACATGTGGCCCCTTTTCCTGGGAGACCCCTGTCGTATCAGCAGTCTATACTGATGTTCTGAGTTGGGATAGTTTGCAGTGCTCAACAAGTGCAGCTTTGCAGAGGACTTTATTCTATGCTTTATTCAGCAGATTTTGAAACAACTATTTTCACAGTACTCTCAGTTTAAAAAAAAGTGTGAAAAAATATTCTGTTGTGAAATGCTGTTAATGTTTGAAACATGAGGAAATTTCCAAATTAAACAACTTTGAGAGAAAAAACTGTTAAATTTCAATTTCTTCACATGTTTCAATGAAAATGAAATTTAGGTATTATTTTGGTTTTTACCAAATCTGCATTTTTCCTGTGGTAGCTTTTTTTTCCAGTGTGCTCATAGCTAGACCCCTTTCTTCCCAGAACATTGTTTCACCGAGAAAAGAACTTAGTTCAGGTCTCCTCTTCAGGCATGGTTATTTTCCTTGTTCCTTTGCCAGAGCATCTCTGTCCATATCCAGACATTCTCTATCCCACTAGTCCCAGCCTCTTTGTAAGTCAGTGTGTTCATGAGCCATGCTTTCATATCTCCTGGCAGAACAAATACAGATTCGTAGCATGCGGTGTTTCTAATAAATACTGCAAACCTGTTTATTCAGCTAACCCAGAGGAGCCAACACTATTCAACTTTTCCTTGCGGCACGCAAGCGTTGCAATCTGCAATCCACTCCATGCCTGTGTTCAGGTAGTGCAGCTGATGTGCATGCAAGAGCTTCAATGGTTGCCATATAGGAAACTCCATTAATCCTTTAAGTCCTGATTTATGAGATCTTGGCATAATATTAGTTATTCCTCCCACCAGAGATACACAGTGCAGCGCAAAGTACCTCAGCTGCACATCCTGGAAAGGTCAAAGCCCACGATTAACTTATGATTCTCCCAGCTGTGCTGAATAAGAAGTGGCATGGTGGGGCTCTGGTGATGCTGACCACAAGCAGTGGGAGCGGGTTTAGTTTCTGCATGGGAAGGAGCAGGTAGTACAGACTGGGACTCCGCATGAGCTAGCAGGGATGGGGCTGGTGGTTTAGAGGGGAAGCCTGCCTCATCCAAGCAGACCATCACAGCTGCAAAGACCTGGGTACTGGAAAAGGCTAAAACAGGAAGATGAGATGTCTCCCCATGTTCTGACTAAGTAAGGCTTGTTTTCAGAGGCAACATTAGGCAACTCAGGTGTCTAAGCAAGCAAAGGGTGGGTGCTACTGTAGGAACATAAGCTTTGGGTCCCCAAACATGCAGCTATTACTAAGCATGCCTGCTAAATTCCTATGCCAGATGCGGTAACCCGGTCAGACATGATGATTTTATTAGCTATAACTAATATTGGTGGTTTTTTATTTCATTTATATGAACATGAAAAAAAGTCAGTAAAACCTAGATTTGAACCTTACATCTCATTCTTTCTGACCTGTATTCAAAAGAAAAAGAGATTTTTAAGGCTTCTGATGACAGAGATGCATTGTGAAGACTGTAATTTCCTGATCAATGTACAGGTCATAAAGACAATACTTCTGTTCTGCTTATATTGATCCATCTGAACTAAAGGTCACTAAAAATTATTCCTTTTTAAACGTGAAGGTGGTTTTTAGGTTAAGGATGTGCCTGGCCTTTCACCTAGGATTCCACTTTAATGTTTCTTGCTCTGTGCTTACATATGAAGCTCTGTTTCAGAGGGAACTTTTGAGTTCTACCATTATAGAAATAAATGCTCATTATAAGCATCCTCTTGTTTTACTAGATATGTCAGAACACTTTCATCTCTATGGCACCAAAGCACTGTCATAATCACCAGGGGCTGAGAATTCAGGACTGGGTTGGGTAGAGCTAGAGTTGATCTGGCATAGGAAATCTCCTTCAAGGGCTGTCATAAATGTTATATGAGCCAGGAAAAGGAAGAGACTACTACATTATTTCTAAAAATCAATGCTTTGTGTAAGCATATTTGCCTGAGTATGCAAAACGCCAACTGTAATTTGAGTGAAAGAAAATGATTTTGTGCAGAGCCCCTTCACTGCCTGGTTCCCTTTACAGCTCTTTTTTTTGCACGTCTTATTCCCTCAGTGTTCAGTATTCACCTCTGTGCTAAAAAATGTTCTTTTAGTGATCTGCTTTTCCTTTTGATCTTTTACCTTAAGATCCGTCATTAATGGTGTCCTGGAAAGAAGAGAATTACCTGTATGACAGTGGCTATGGTAGCACAGTAGGTAACTAACATCACAATACTTAATGCAGTTCTGAGATTATTTGATTGTTGTCTGAGGCTATTACTTCAAATATCTTCTTTTTCATTCCCAGAGCTATTGGACAGTAAAACATTCTGTCGTGCACAGATTTCCATGACGACACCTAGTCACCAGCCTTCTGGTAAGGAACTTGTAATTGTATTGTTAATTGTTTGTCACTTGTCCCAGAGCTACAGATGTATAATAGTCTCTGTGGTCTTCTGTTGTAGGATTAAATCTGAGCCTCCAGTAATTTTAAATCAAGCAGTACTGATTCCAACAGCTCTTTTAGCTATCATTATTACAATAACTTCCTTTAAGAAAATGCTTCTCTTTTTTCTTTGTCAAGATTAAGAAGACCGAATAATCTGCAATGTCCACATATCTTTTAAAGTGACTGAATCAAAGGAAAGGTTGTTAGTGTCAGAGACATGAGACATTCCAGCCCCACGACACTTTTCTATGATGTAGCTGGGTATGGGCTAGTACCATGTTCCTCCCCAGAAGTGGTTGCATTTCCCTAGTGAGCCAGTGGTTCATGCTGAGTAGGTTGCTAGGTTTGGGGCAAGGTTTGGGGTTGGCCCAGGGAGCCATAGGGCAGACACCAAGCCCTTTGCCCAGCTGTACCAGAGAATGAGCTTCCTACGAGAGTCCATCTCAGCTGACAGCAAGGCAGGCCCTGCATGCCACTGCACCCATCCGCAGCGCTTCCACGAGACAGAGGTACAATCTGCCTGCTAAAGGGCAGGAGAAAGAGCAAACCCGTTTGCCATAGTGCCCAGCAAAGTGCAGTCTTGGCATGCACATTGGGGTGTGCTGTGGATAATGTCCTGGATGCAGGCACCAGGGGTGGAGGTGAGAGAGAGCGAGCCAGTGGGAAAAGAGGAGAGGACAGATGATAGGGAAGTGAGAAAGGGGTGGAGGAAAGGCATGTCTTTCCTAGGAGGCTGTTAAGCAAACATACCTGAGGAAGAGAGCAGTGGAAGTAATGGGAGAATGAGAAAGGAAATCACACTGCTGTAGATGCAGCCTCAGAGGTGCTATCTCTGCACTGGGGGGAACCTTGTGTCTCTGCATGCAGCCAGCAGTCATAGCCTCTGTGCCTGCCCTTTTGCTGTATCCCCTGGCCTCTCAGCACAGTCAGACTTGCCAAGTGGTTTACAGCTTAAACTAATGCACTTAGCAACAGATTTTAAAGAAAGGATAGGAAAAATTGACCAGAAGAAAACCACCAAACCTTAAAAAAAAACCAAAACCCAACCAAACACTCTGTTTGCTTTCTCCTCCACCTCTACCCACTCTCACAAGATGGCTACCAGGATTTCAGAGCTCTTTGATGGGACTAGGGACCTGTCAAGATCCTGGCACAGCATGTTTACCTGCTGACTGCTTAAGCCTAGAGCTAGGGTGGCACGCCAAGGGCACAGCCTCCTGTAAAAACTAAATTTGTATATCCCGTAAAAAAATGGCTCATTCCTGAATCATATGCAAATACTGTGCAATCTTTTGTCAAATGTTTTGCAAGACAGTTTTGTTGAAACTGCATCAGAACTCTTTTCATCTGTCAGGCCCCAGCCTCCTAACATGGCATGTTTGAAACCGGTCTCCAGGTAGGAACAGAGGCAGAGTGGGAGACTATTTGCACAGCTGAAATACAGAATAAATCACCAGCTAGGCAGAAGGCAGCTAAACTTCCAGGAGTAAATCTCCAGCTAAGTGGAGCATAAAATACATTTGCAAGCAAATTGTGGGATTTTCAAATGAGAATGATTAATACAATAGGGCAAATAAAGGACTGGGTCCCTCTGTCCTTGCCTGGAGTTCCCACAGGCATAATAACATTAGGGGAATCATAATTTGAAGAAAGGCAGTGAAATAAGCCTCATTTTACTTTTTCCCCCACAGCTGAGTGTGGCTCAGACTAGTTCCTGCTCTTTGAGAGTGGGAAGGCAAAATGACTCAGAACGTGTTTGCTGCTTGGGGGTCAAGGACGATAATGATGTCAGGCTTAGAACAGTGGAGGTTAGGCTTATCCTCACTGACCTGTTCGGTTTATGTTTCCAGTTATGTATGAATAACGCAAGCATTGTGAATAGCTTTGCATCTACCTTTTCACATGCAATTATTGCAGTTGCTTGTGCACATCTGAGAAGTTTCTATGCAAATGAATATTTCCTGTGAGTCATTTTCCCATGCAAATGCCCGGTTTCCATGAAAAGTATGATAATCGTGCATTCATAGAAGCTGGGAAAACGTGCGTGGGACCTTAAGTTTTGCTTTATGGAATTCAGGCATGAAGTCTGCTGAAAAGCAAACACAGAAGGGGCTCCCTCTCAGGACTATCCCACAGATTTTGCAAGACTTAGAGCAATCAGATTAAAGCTATTCATAAGTGACAAGAGTAGAGCCAGGCTGATGTGGTTTGAGGGAGGGAAGGAGGGTTTAATGTGCAGATTACAAGGTTGGTTACAGTCATGAACAGGCGGAACTTTTCTTTTTCTACATTTCTGAAGAAATGCTTGTGCCAGAAACACTATTCCTCCTCTGGCTGGCTGCAGGTGATAAAGTACCATTGATGAGAAATGGCTTGTTTCTATGGCTCTGAGCCACAGAAGAATATATGCATGTCCAGCTGCCAAAAAACTCCTACCAGCGCAGTCCCGTTCCCCCACCCTGCCCCCCAAACAACAACGCTTTGCCAGTTCATTATGTTTTAGTCAGGTAGGTGTTCTCTGCATTGGTACCAGTGCATACATTTCAAATTAGATCATATCTTCAGGAACAGTTAAGCCCCCAAAGATACATGCTTCTGCAAAGACTAAGACATAATGGGACAATTCAGGATTTCTTTTATAGAAATGATCGTCTTATTTTCCTCTCTTACACATAACATGAGGTGAGGTATTTGTTAATCAAATAAAGGTTTCAAAAACCAAATGTTTACCTCTGCATTCATTCTTTTTTCATCAATGGTCTCTTTGTGAAGTGTGCTGATTAACATATAGTACAGAAAACAAAACTCTCCCCCTTCCTCCTCACTTAGATTACCTTCTGAAAAGTGATTATCTTTAAAAGAGATATTAGTTCTTTTTTGTGGTTTTATTTCTTTCAGCCTGGCAGTCAATGGAAAGCCTTTAATCAAATTTACAAATAAGCTTAATTTTCCTTCTCTGCAGATTCTTCAGATGTGAAAAAATCACAAGATCATACCCCAAAGTCCCACACCAAGAAGCACAGTAAGTCAACATCCATGTTTATAATGGTTGGTTGGCTGAAGGGAAAGAAACACATTAAAAGCAGATCCCCTTTGGGAGGGAAAAGGAGGCATTTTGAAAGCAAAACTGGTTAGATTGTTAATGTGATTGAATCCTCCAATGATCTGACTGTTTCTAGCACTGTTTGCTTATGTGATTTTTGACTCAGTATTGTTATATTTTTCAAATTGTTTTTATTATTGAGGTCTTCTGGAGTTTCTTCCTGACTCCTCTTCTTACCCTGCTCTGTGATTTGCCAACCAGAACTCCTGCACACAGATATATGTTTCTTTTTTCATTTGTATATCACAGTTACTAAGGAAAGGATTATACAAGACTGGTCTGAAGATAGACCTGTGAAGAACTGAGGTCACTTGATTTGTTCAGCTTAGTGAAGAGAGGACTGAGTGGTGACCCCATCACAGTCTACAACTTCCTCAAGGAGGGCAGTGGAGGAGGAGTTGCTGATCTCTTCTTTCTGGTGACCAATGACAGGACACCAGGAAATGGAATGAAGCTGCATCAGGGGAAGTTCAGATTGGACATTAGGAAAAGGTTCTCCACCAAGAGGGTGGTCAGTCACTGGAGCAGGCTTCTCGGGGAAGTATTCAGAGCACCAAGCCTGTCAGAGTTCAAGGAGCATCTGGACAAAACTCTTAGTCATATAGTTTAGTTTTAGGTAGTCCTGTGAGGAGCAGGGAGTTGTACTCAATGATCCTTATGTGTCCCTTCCAACATGAGATATGCTGTGATACTAAGAACTTGGTCACAGTCTTATCATATAGAAAAGGTCACCTTGCCATGCTGGGCTAATCCTCGACATTTCCAGTTTCTTCAGTACTGCTCTGTACCATAATCTACTGAGTGTGTCCAGTTAGACTAGGTCAACCACATTTTGTTGGCTCTAGAAAACAATTATAATAAAAAAAAAAGAATTTGGATTAGTTGACTGAAATCTACTTCTACTCATGTTGCACAGTATACCATTTTTTATTTACCTTCACATCTTATATTAGCTTGTTTCCTTCTTTCATCTAAACCCCTGTGTGTTTTTTAAAGTCAGACCAAAGGACTGCTATCTTTCTGGCCCACCTTATCACTGTGTTTGTTAATCTTCATTCATAAACTACTATATCTGACTTGTTGGATTTATTTGATCTTTTAGTCTTTTTGAGCTGGACCTTCTGGTGCCATCTCTACAGTAACTGTGAGATGTATTTGTGCTTAAACTGGGAGGTCTACCTGTTGAACTTAGAGATTTGGTTTTGCCTTTTCTGATATCTCTGCCAAACTGTTTTATACCCTGTCCGCCAGTTTTATACCTCTATCCACTCCACACCTTCTTACTTCTTTAAGTCTACTTAAGAGACCTGGGCCAAAATACTCATTGATGCGGAATGGCATTTCACCTCCTTTGCCTTCTGTCTGTCTTTTAAATGCCTGGAGAGTCAGTGCCTGCTTCACAATTATCTTGGCTGTTTAACATACCACACGGTAATATCAGGTTACATGCCAAGCTGTGGAAGAATGTCAGCAAAAATTGGCAAATGAGATGAGAGGAAGACTTAAACATGTTATCTTTAGGGCAGACGGGAGCAGTGGGTGGTTTGGACTCTGCTTCCCCTGGTTGCTGGGGCTCCTACCTGCCTGCCATGAGGCTCATACTGTCGAAGTCTGACACTCACCTCCAGACTCAGTGTTAAGGCTGCCAGTGTTTTTTTGCCTATGTAACTCCAAGGTGGGGGTTCTGCGCTTCAGGAACTATGGCGTTTCCCTTTTGAGTGGTCATCATCTGACCACTTCTGTAGATGACATGCTGTAAAAAGATGGCATAAAAATGGCAAGCATAGCCTGGAGAGCTCTTTAGACACTCCTTCCTCCTGCCCCCTTTCCTCTTTCAGACCCTCGAGGAACTCATCTTTGGGAATTTATTCGAGATATTCTTCTCAACCCTGAGAAAAACCCAGGATTAATCAAGTGGGAAGACCGGTCAGAAGGTGTCTTCAGATTTTTAAAATCTGAAGCTGTGGCTCAGCTCTGGGGAAAGAAGAAAAACAACAGCAGCATGACTTACGAGAAACTCAGCCGAGCTATGAGGTGAGCTGAGATGTTGCTGTGAAAGCCTGGGGCACGTAAAGAAACTACCTGAATGTAGAATCCGGTTGACTTCTAAAAAAGAATTTGCAGCAGCAGCATTTGCTTTCTTTGACAGCTGAGTCTCTGCCACTAATTTGGAGACTGTAACACTATGTTCTTTGTCTTTTCTTTCCTCTCCAGTTTCTGTATACTATTATATATATAATAATATATACAACATACATGTGTTAGATATATAATATACATTCTGTTGCTGTCCACCAAAACAACCAATGTAGGAAGTAAACATGGCTGTAGCAAGCTGAAAGTTCACATGCTATTGAACTGGGAAGGCTTAAATGGCTCAGTAATGGCCAGCGACCTTGTTATTTCCAGCAGTGTTCAGCAACTAGCCATATCTCCCACCCATTATCCTAAAATGGGTTTACAAATTCTATGTGAGGATTTCTTTTGCTATCTGCTTTAACATTTTGAGCATTTTTCCATAATCTATGAAAGTCCAAAATATATTTTTAAATGGAAGCTGAGATTCTTTCCTGGTCTGATTTCAGATCTTTGCTTATCTGGAAAAAAAAATAATCCATGAAATGTCATAAGAGTGTGTAATAAATATAGCAATATGCTAGGACCTGAAATACAGTGAAATTCAAATTCAGAATATAATAATGTCCTGGTTTACTGGGACAGAATTTTAGAGTCAGTTTTCTGTTCAGGAAAACTGCAATTCTGTGAGTACTACGCTCATGGGAACATTTCATGGGAAAAAAGTGATAAGAGATTTTATTATTGTTCTTGGACAGCACTGGTATGTGATGTTCAAGGTCTCTAACAGTCTTGAGATAAAACAGGTGCAGAGACTGGGGGATGTGGAAACCCAGGATAGTTGACCCTAAGCTGACCCCAGGCTGACCAATTAATATCATTCTGCACCATGAACATCGGTTTCACTATGAATTGGAGAGTTTGTTGGGCACAGTCCTTCTTCTTCTATGGCTGTCATCTCAAGAGGGACTTGTCTACCATCCTACCCTTGAGGCCTACTCCTCTGGCTGTGTATGACTCTGTGTACTTCATATTAATACTGTTATTAATATTAGTTATTAATTTAGTTATTACTTTATTAAATGTATTTATTAAATTTATTTCTATTTAAACCCACAAGCCTCCTTTACTTTTCCCAGTTCCCCTCCCTGAGTGAGGAGGAGTCATCAAGTGATAGAACAACTGTTTAAACCACAAAAAAATAATTTAAAATAAAAAGATGACATAAATTTTTTCTTCTCTGTCTTTAAGTTATTATAATCTTAAGTACTATATATGTATCAATAGAAAATAAGGACCTTTTAGCTAGCTGAGGAATGGCCTAGTTGGCAGTGGCCTTTTAGGACCATAGATGAATTTAATCTTAAATACTTTCCTGTGTTTTTATTTTAACAGATACTATTATAAAAGAGAAATCCTCGAGCGCGTGGATGGTCGGAGATTAGTATATAAATTTGGAAAGAATGCCCGTGGCTGGAGAGAAAATGAGAATTAAACGTGTCAAGAAATAACCTTTTTAACATCTGTCTGGAAATATTCAAAGACTATTTTCTTATATTTATGTACCAAACTGGGGTGAAAAAACAATTCTACTTCTGTCGGGAAGAAGGAACATTATCATTATTGGTGTTAAAATTATTTTATTTGAACTATGTCCTGTATAGGGAAAAAATGTACACAGTTTTCTGTGATATAAGGTAATATTATAGAATTATGATTATTTTTCCCTTTTTGTGAAGTTTTCATCTTTTTTTTTTAATCATACAGGCATAATGTGATGTATGACAATGCTGTGAGTCATGCAAAGAAAGGGAAGGAGTGAAGTAATAGGGCATTTAGGGAGTATGATAATCCACTTTAGAAGGCAACTATAAGTGGAGGAAACAGTAAAGCATCTCTAAGCCAAGTAGTCTTCTTCCATAGTCAGCCAATTTGTAACTTTGTTTGGCCAATATCATTTGTTCCTTCCCTCTGATTTCTGAGTGTTTTAACACTTTGCTGGCTTCCAGCTGCTTTTGTTAAGACAGACGATGGGTTCCTCTTTAGTTTGCTTATCCCAGCCACAAAGAGCAGTGGCTCTGCAAGGTGGCTGTCGGCATTTATCTGAAGAACCCATACTACCTCCACCACTGGGACCTTCTTTTGTAGGCAGAAGTTTAGGACCTGACCTTACCTGGTACTGAGTATCCTTAACCTCCAAAGGGCATTCTGCTCATCCCAGGCGAAGGGCTATTTGTTTTTAACGAAGATCTTTGAGATGAGCTGCAGGAAGAGAGTCAATCTCAGGGACCAAATGCTATTGAAGGAAGATGATCATTTTCTAACTGGGAAAACTTACTAAAAGGCATCGGTTTCCCAGTAGAAATAGTAATACTCCTCCCACCCTCTTATATTCCTAATTAAAGCATTCAAATCCATGCCATATGAAGCAGTGAGGAGGTGGGCAAGCAGAACATATATTAATCCCATGGCACGAGGGAGCAGTTCCTTCAAGTCGTATGGTTCTCCTGGCAGGTCAAGTCTCACTTGGACAAATACTTTCAAAAAAACCTTTGAGACTGCAAAGCTCTATTGCATGTAAAATATTAGTTCCTTTTCTTTTCGCAAGTCTAACTCTATATTGTATGTGTATTTGTCAACTGTGCATGGGATTCTCAGTTGGGGAAAAAACCCATCAGCATAAAGACACTGAGATTTTGAGGGCATTCAGATCTGGGTCAGTATTTTGGGCTCATCTCTAGCAGTGGTATGCAGAGACTGAATGTTCTTTTGCAACTTTTTCTTTCTCCAAGTCACAAATGCTTCCTGCTGGCACCAAGCATATGCAGAACATGGGGAAATAAGAACTAGAGGAGGCAGCACTTCACCAGGTCACTGAGTGCGTGAGATGTGGGAGTTGAAAAACAGGATTTTCTTGGTGATGTTAACAGAGGTGAAACCAAGATCGATTCCAACTGACGTTTTCAGGGATGGGGAATTTGGAAAACAATAACAGGGCCTGAGAAGTCCAGGATGGGAAAAAAAGAAATTAAGAGCATTAAATCCATCCAGTATCCATTTCCTCAGGCATACCCTGAATTTAAATCCATATTAGCTTGAAATGTAGCAAGGTGCAGCTGAAGGTTGTAGGATATTCCATTTCTTGTTTGTCTTAAAAGGAAATAGAGATGAAACCAAGAGACAGCAGAGGTATCAATATAAAGGGTATCAAATGTGCTTAGCAACAATCTGTAGGCAAACATAAGAGCCTAACTTGTTATCTACACATACAGGGCATGTCAACCACCACCACCACCTCCTACAATGTGTTTGCCAGAGCTGTCACCATCAATTACCCATACATGACAATTTTTACTTTTTATAACCTGGGTGGAGAGATGAACCTGGTTCATCTTATTTACAAATCAAATAATAAGCCTCTGTACTTCAAAGCATTTTTTACTCTCTCTCTTTTTTCTTTTTTTTTTTTTTGAACTGACCGTTCTCGCTTTGCTTGCATTTGCACAACTCAATAATTTCCTTTTTTCAGTTTGATTAGCTACATTCTACTTCCTTTACTATTGTGTTGTAGTTCATATAACAAGAAACAGGCCACCAGATGAGGAGACGACCTTCACTTTGCTCCAAAGACCATTCCTTCCCCCACACTCCATGGTTATTTGCAGCCCTTTACTCCATGCTCTTCACTCTGCACCTCCACCTCAGCTCCCCAAACCACACCTTGAGTGAAAATATGAAATCAGTGATACTGTCACATATCCACAATACTGTTGTACCTTACCTCAGGTTAACATTCATCTTACAGCAACTGATTGTAATACCTTCAAAAAGCTGCTTCCTACCAGATCTCTCACCAAACTTCTTGGGAGATAAAATGAACTTGTGATATACATGTGTGACCACTTGGTTACCGAGCAGCAGCTAAACCTGCTTTTAAAGGTTTTGAAATATAAAGCTTTATTTAGAAGCATATTGTATAAATTTAGAGAGTGATTTACATTGGGGTGCAGTATAAATGTCAGTCTTCCACTGCCACGTCCTTCAGCACGTGGTAATTGTGCCAGTTTCTATTCCCATTCTGCAGAACTTTTTGGACTAGGTACTTCTTGTTCAGCATTACAATAGCACAAAGTTGGAATAGAAGCCAGCCAACATTTACTCTGTTTTACAAATATATTAACCTTTGCTTAAGACAAACACAAAGGACTGTTTAAAACTACAGTTCTTGCCAAGGACAGATGCAACCCACCAAAGGGAGTTTTTTTACCAGACCTAAGCAAATGGAGAAAATGAAGAGATTAATGTTTATGTAAATTACTATTTAAACAAAAAGCATTTCTGATTGCTCTTTTATTTTATATTTCAGAGGCTGAGCAATCATATTTTTAGATGTATCCTTTAAGTGAGCAGCTGCTGGACTGGTAGCACCATGTGTATAGATTTTTATTGTACCATAATTTTTCATATGTATAAAGCTCTAGATAGCAAAGTATGTTATATTTATACAGTTACATGCAAATCACAATGTCAAAGGTGTTGGCATGACCACTCTCAGACTGTATTTCCTGCACAAAATTACAACTTATTCCAAAAACATCCCTAGAAACTGTATGTAGACAGTGAACTACACAGACATTAAAAGGTTAGTTACATTTTCATCTTTCTTTCTGCAGCACATTGCATAATTCCTGCTTGCTTCTCACATCATCATTTTCAATGTGTAAGTACAGAAACAAATCCATGTTACTTATTTCACTATTGCCATTGTAAATCTCAGCTTGGAGACTATGTATCATAAAATGGTTCTAGAGACTGTTTCTATTTTTGTGGATACGACATAAATTCAAATAAAACACTCATGAAAGAAATTTTCTGATGAATGTTTATCTTCAATTTTTGATGTCTTGAGATTGGAAGTGACTAATACGAATTCCTTCAATACTGGAGAATTTTTCAATATTGGCAAAAGGATTGATATAACTACCACAAAAGCTTATATTTACTAATATGCTGAATAGCCCATCTGTTGTGAAGATACTGGATTTCCAAACCTGTTTTACGTCTCACAGGCTTTGCAGGAATACACAACTATGTCAACACAGCTAGATTGTCTTTCTTGTTCAGCTGCTGAGCTTTAGAAAGGTCTTACTTCAGCACTGATTTAACTTCAAGGTATTTTGAAGTGTGTGCAGCAGCTGATTAAGGATGCCATTACTCACACCGAGCATTTCCTTTACTGAATCAAAGCAGCTAAAACTATGAAAACCTGTCCTTCGTGTTATTTTTCCATCCAAGTGCTGGCTAAAAAAAACATTCAGTGAACACAGAGAGTGTCCTGATTTGGTCTGCAAGTTGAGGAAAAAAAAGTGAAAACCTCCAAAATCATGTCCACCTAATTAGGAGAATACGTTTGAATTTTAAACACAGGTATAACCCCCATGTTTAACATCCAAAACCAGGCCAGTGCCCAGAAAGCGTTGTCATATTTTGAGAACTTGGAAGACCCAAGCCAGGTTTCAAAAGGAATTGGAACTGGATTTCAAACAAGTTCAGACTGAATTTTAAATAAGCACACAGCTGGTTTTCCAGTAAATGGTTGGGTCTTTTGTTTCAAGCAAGCTGAGGCCAATATTTGAGACAAAGACAAATGAGAATATTGTTTGGAAACATGCAAATAAATGCACACTTTAAAAAAACCCCAAGCAACTTCTTCAGTTATGACTTAAAATTGAGCAAAACTTCAGCTTCCAGCTGCATTTTAAGGCCATATGAAATAAAAATTCAAAGCAAAATTTAGAGTTTGCAAATCCTATGTAAATTTGGAATAAGTCAGGGGAGTACTGTAAACAGAATCTAGCAAGCTACATCTAAACCTGATACAAATTTGTGGGCACGTCTGCATCAAGGGTGAGAATTGCTTCACGTAAGTGAAATCTGGTACTGCAGAAAGATGAGCAGTTAAGAGTTACCAGTACTAATAGCTTCTGAGAAGTGTAAGTGGAACAGTTACAATAATTTGAAAGATAGATTTTCTACCCATGTTTACAGCTTTTGCTCCCTTGCTGACGGATCTTTGCACAATGCGGTCTAAGTCCTAAGCTTTGTGCCAGCCAAGAATTTAGTCTGACAACCACTCTTGCTGCCTTTACCCAGATATTTAGCTCCTTCAGTCATCTGACTATATTTTAATATATCAAAATATAAATAAAATAATAAAATAAAATAAATAGAGAATTTTTTTTAAAAAAAGAGCAGGAGAAAGAGACTGAGAAGAAGGCCAGGTCTTACTGCACGGAACAGTTCTGTGTAGAAATACAAAGGCTGTATACGCAAAAAAGTTGATGGCTTCCGAGTAAGTCTATTTATAGTCTTTCCATCAGGTATTGGTTGCAAATATGAAACATAAATTAGTATTTGCAAGTCTAATTATAACTGTGAGGAGAACAAGATATCAGAGCAATATGCCTATGTACACTGCATAATCTTATGAGCCTAAAATATATTTAATTATAAAAGTAAAATGACTAAAATATTATTTCTGCTGAAGAATTTCCCCCCTCTCTCTTCAGAATGGTGTGATATTCTCCTTTGCTTTCATCTCATTTTGAATTTTCAACAATAAGTTTCAGTCTCAACAAGAGAATGAAGAGGGAGATGGAAGATCTGTAGCAGGCATTGCGAATTAATTGCATTAATCTTATTAATGAAAATTACTGGGTAAAGATC